GGATTGCAGCCAATGTGTTACTGTACATTTACTCAAGAATAACGGCAGAGTGGGTACAGGGCCCACACTGCTCACCACGTGGCTTCCTCATTTAGCCACAGATGAAGTGATCACTGAGCAGCCCGTGTGGAGGAAGCCAGCAAACCGGGAAGTGTAAACTCCGCTGGGGCAGCTACACTCTTCTCCCTGGGAGTCTGAATCGAAGCACAGGAACTGTGGTGAAAGCCACAAGGTCGTGCACAGGTAGAGGCCAGCGCACGTATTGCCTGGGGACAAGCTAAGCAGTGACATCGGAACCACCCAGCAGCACCCCTCGAGCGCCTCATAACAGACCAGTTTCTCTGGCCTGTGTTGTTAGTTTTCTAATTCCCACGGAGCCTGACACTCTGGCCACGGATTTGCATGAGCCTAATTTAATCTCTGTCCACTCCACTCATCAGTGTCCTAGCTAATATCCTTGATGTCCCATCTGGATATGAGTTCACTGTACTTCCAGTAGGGATGGTCATTTTTAGTGGAGGCAGGGAGCACGGCACCTTATTCTGGGATGCTGAGCATCTGCCCTGGTAGTTTTCAGCACGCCCTGAAGGCCAGCTCGGGAGGAATTTCTCTTCCTCCCCAATACTGGGTAACGTCCCTAAGCAGCTGCCACAGTGTCTTGGTGCTTCGTTTACATGATACTAACTATTGATTTGGATTTTAGGAAGCCCGAGGTCAATCTGGGAATTAATTTTAATAGTTTGTCAAACATTAGGGGATGGTTTGACTGGTAAATTTATACTAATCTACTCACCTTATATTGTTTTTCCACTACTCTCACTACTTTAGGAATATATTTATTCAAAAGAATATATATGTGAAAGTAATCTCAGATTATTTTTGGAAATAAGTAAGGTAAACAATTAGTAAACAAAGAACAGTAAAGTTAATATTGAATAAATAATAAAAATAATACATACACACACTCATTTTTAAAAGTTCTTATAGAATAGTTGTCAGTTCATCATTCCACACATTCCATCTAAAGCACAAATACCTGTAATGAATACTTTTAACGTTTTCTGACAAAGTCAAGCATGTAGAGAATTATAACCAGTGAGGAAGGACAGTTTAGGACTTAGAGAAAATTAAAATCATGGTCAGGATTTATTCCTATGGAAGTGAGTGAGAAAACGCAAGTGATTTCCCTGGTTGTTCTACTGAGTGCTGTGCTGCTGGGTTCGTGCACCTCTGACAAGCCCAGGCAGCTGAGGAATTCGGCTGCCAGCGGCGTTGGCTTGATTGTCTGCTCAGGGTGAGGAGCGCAGAGGCGTCCCAGGCCTTAGGCTCCCCTGGATTGTAAACAGGCTAAAGAAAACTACCCTGTTCCTCGGGGTTGTTGTTGCTGCTGTTGTTTTTTCTTTGTTGTTGTTTTTTTTCCTGTTTGTTTTCAGCAGTGTTTGGTATCGATCCCAGGCCTTCTCATGCCTGCCAGGCAAAAGCTCTACCACTGAGCTGTGTTCCTGCCCTTCACTGGGTTTTTAAAAAAATCTATGGTATGTACTGGGGATTGTTCTAGGCAGTATGTTCATAAAAGAAAAGAAACTCCTTGCTTCTTGTTTCTGAGGCCTGTGGTGGTATTTAGCTCTACGCATCATAACACTTTTCTCCGGGAATTTCCTCTGAGGCCATGTGGATAAATCAGGCATAAGAATCCCCCAAATTCCCCACAGCAGCAACAACCAGTGGCAGATTATTTGACCAGATAATTATGGTTTATGAACACTTGTCAATGAATTGCTTAAATACTTTCATTTAGGCAAACTTAAATGTAGGAGATGTGATAGTTAGGCTTGCTCATTGGCCAAAATTCGCGCTATTGTCAAGCTGCCCAAATCGCAGGCTCAGCACCGTTCTTACAACTCCATAAAATTCCCCATATGTTGGCTTCTTTGTTGTTTACTTTTATGGCCCGTTATCTCCTTCATCTGAACAATGCAATTCTGGCAAAGAATTAAGAATGTTAGTAGTGGAAGGGAGCCTAACCTATAAGGAATTCCACCCACAGCCCAAAGAGATGCTCAAGGTTACTCAGCCAGTTTGGGTCAAAGCCCAGCCTAGAACTGGCCTCCAAGTGCTTAGTCTAAGGACTTTTGATCATGCCATACATGTCTTTCACTCTGGTTTTCATGTCTTTATAGGTAATTTGAGTGATTTTTCTTTGTAATAGTATATTCCTGTAAGATCATTATTAAAGTTCTGGACACTGACATTTTAAGATAAAAGACAATGATAATTTAAATTATTACACCATGGTAGCTTGCAGTTTTAGAAAAAAATCTAAAGGCCATAAAGATGAACATTTGCAAAGTTTGCATTAGTCTAATGCACATCTCTATTACCTCCTTTGGCTGTCTCCAAATTACACATTCACAGGTTAGGGGTGCAATGTTGTAATCTCTTAGGCCAGACTCGGTCATAGAGAGACAAGATGGGTCAGAGGACAACTAACAGATCAAAGCAAAATAAGACTGACGATTCAATCAATCATTTCTATTATTAACAAAGACCTAAAACTACCACCTTTAAAATACTAGAAATAGAATAAGCTTAGCACGAACTGGCACTTGATAAGAAGCCGAGGCTGGTGTCTGTCTCACCATGGTATGTAGAGGTATTCCAGGGATTGCATTGCAGAGCAAGCAAGGTGATCCTCCCGGTGCGACGCTAACTCATGGAGAAGCACCGCTGGGGTTGGCCTGTCTCTCATTCCAGCTCAGCTTTCAAACAAGTAGGGTCGGACAGGATCATTCCATTCTAGTGATCCTTTTGAGTACGGCGTTCATACCGCGATCCTTTCATAGATTCATTTTCCAACAAACTTTTTCTCCTAAGATTCGCACTTCAATGTTTTTGACAGCTCTATAATGTACAAACTGTTCATGTTAGCTAATGAGTGACTATTCTTTGGCCAGTTGTACCCATTCAGAAAATGATTTCATTGTACATAAAACTGGGAACTTTTCATTAACTTTTTTTTTTAAACCAGGAATTGAACTCAGGACCTTGCACGTGCCAGGCAGGCGCTTGTGCCACTGAGCTTTATCTCCAGCCCAAAACTGGGAACTTTTAACAAACTTTGACAAGAACTGGAGGAGGATATGTGACAGAGTCCACTTGCAGTGCAGATGCGGGGTCATACATTCCTGTAAAGACAAGTGTGGTGGCAGCACACAGCTTTCATTTATATTTCAGTTACATAGTGGATCCCAAAATATTTTCTTCAGCATGTGAATGCCTAGTAGGGGCAACAGTATTATTTTACCTTAAAAATTATTAAGTGGGAAAAGTTTGTCTTCTAGTACTCAAGAACCTCTAAGCTCTTTAAATCCTGCTTTCTTCATCTCCAAATGAAGCACCTGTTGTTCCTCCCATCCCACCTCAAAGCTGGTTCTCAGACTCTTTAGTGAATAGTCAAAGGGCCGAATATCATGCCTTTTCACTATTATAAGTGTGAAATAATATTCTTTAATTTTAGAGTATTGCTCATTTTAAAGTAGAGACTTAATGCCACTGTATAACTTGGGGCACCAATACTTGCAAAATAGAAATATAGACAAGTAACATGTTTTTAATAGAGAAGTGAAAGAAGCTTATATTGCCTTTTTCAGAAACAAAATGTGGAAGAGTGGGCAAAATGCTGTAAATGTGTCAAACTTCCACTTACTTACCTGAATTTTAGTGTCCTGGTCAATAAGATGCCACATTCTCTGTCAGATGCATTAGTCACTGAACTTTGGAAAAAGTGGTCATCTTCTATTTATGATCTGTAAGTGGCTTTTTCAGGAATTCCTTGGTATTTAGGGCCAAGTGTTGGAAGCTCTACTCTGTCTCAATTCCAAAGGTTCTTACATGTCATTATATCAAACTTAAGGCCTAAGCTGCCATATGCAATTATATACCTTCAGTAATTAAATATGTGTACATGAGAGGTCTGTGGGATTCTGACTTCTCCAGATTAAACGAGTCTAGCTAAAACACATAGTTCATGATTCCTGAGTTAGACATGAATGCACGAACATAAGCCAAATCACGATGGTAAAAAGCAGATCCCTCTCCAGTTTTATCAGTGACGTTCCCTGTACATTTGTTATATTAATACTCATCTCATAGACAACCTTGAGAGTTTCCAGAATCATTCAGTTTGACTTTGAATGTGAATTTCAATACCAAGATCAAGTAAGAACAGAATTTTTCTGAGCTGATGATCACTTCCAGTTAAAGGGACAAACCGTGGAGTACTGTAGATACGGCATTATGCTTTACACGAAGAAGCTTAAATGACTTTCAGAGAAGCTGTAAAGTGACCTTTCCACAAAGCCTTGCACATTAAAGATTGCCCAGGATAACTTTTTCTATATTTAAAAGCAGAATACTTGCCTTACATATTCAGTTGGATTTAAGCTTTTAAAGTCAGAAGTTCACAAAATTTTAATTTTCATACATTAAGATGTACTGCCAGTTGCACCGTACACCCAGCCCTCTGTGTCTATGGGCCAGGTCCAAAAAGGTTGTCACCTGAGGACTGTAAATGTTAAAAAAAATAGTGTCTGTGCTGAACCTGTGAGGACCTTCTCTTGCCAGTGTTCCCTGATAATAAGGCATAGCAAGTGTCTACATAGCATGTGCATTGTGTCGAGTATTACAAGTAACCTACAGATGACTGAAGTTAGGAAGGAGGTGAATATGCATAGGTTACATGGCAAACCTGTGCCATTTCATATGTGATTGCGGATCCTTGGGTTTAGCTTCGGGGTGTGTGTGTGGCTGGAAGCAATTCCTGATGGACCCTGAGGGATGGCTCCGTATGTCTAGTCTTACTGAATCATACAATGCACATGCTTCATGTGTATGATGAAATGAATGTTCCACGGGTGTACATAGAGCCATGGGAAAGGTGTTACTTAGGTGTTTGCATTTCCCATGCATTTAGTATACGTACCCTTTTGCATTTCAGAGCTCTTGGATCTGAATAGAACGTCGATCTTTCATAGCCCGCGCGGATCTCTTGATCTCCATTCGATGCTGCTGGATGAATACCAAGAACGACTCTTTGTGGGGGGCAGAGACCTTCTGTATTCTCTCAGCTTGGAGCGGATCAGTGACGGCTACAGAGAGGTACTGAGACGTCAGACTATTTCAGGAGGAAAAGGGAATTATGAGCATGTTGCTTGACTTATGTTTCCCATTGTGCTGACCACTTTAAAATTTTGAGTGATGATTGCAATAAAACATTCATTAAAGAGGAGATCACATGAGAAAAGTTTATAAATCGCCATGTAAACTTTTCTGGCAGCCACTGCACCTAAACTCCCAGATGCTCCTGAGTGGGATTTGGCATTCCCAGTGCTCTTGGCCTTTGTCACCACCCTACTGTGCTAAGCCTGGTGTCTCCGGGTGAACGACCAGCGGTCCCTCTGGCCTTTGTTGTTCTAACAGCCAAACCTGAAGAAACCTGGCCATGTGGTCGCAGTGTAGCTGCCTCCTGCGGTTCTGCTGGGGACATCACTATTTCAGACAGGTGCTCCTTCAGCCTAGTGGAGGGATGCCGGATGTTACAACAGGCAAGGGGCTGCTATTTCAGAAAGCGTTAACTGTGGGAAGGACAAAGCAATTCTAAACACTGTGGGGTTAGATTGTTCTAGACCTGTGTCAATTTTACAAGAAACATCAAGAAATATTTAGAATACATCTTGGCATACATGCATGTATGATATAATCCGCCTTCTTTATGGTTGACTTTCACATTGTATTCATCAAAATGGGTTCTGGCAGTATTTTCTGGAGTCTTTAAACACAAAACAATCATGACAAAAAGCAGCAGCTCTTGATCCTTTCCAGTTCCTGATCCCTAGAGGAAATAATTTGAGACTTGTACAGTATCTTCTCATTCTTCTGGATAGCATGCATGTCTTGGGTTGGGCGAGCACTCGGAGGTAGCGCAGATACTTAGCACGCATGCTACACTGAGCTCCATGAACTCTGCGTGCTGCTGTTTACTGACATCTTTGCTCTTGGGCAATCCCTGCTAACTCTGGGGAGGATGAGGATTTCAGCTTTGTTTTCTTGCAGTAGCACAGCTCAAATATCTGTGCACCACACTTTAGCAAGTTCTTCCAAAGATAATGATTCCAATACTTTTGGTTAAATAGTACTTATGTCTTATGTTATTGTAATTAGAAGAGTATTCTGTACCAAACCACATCATGTAAGCTTATCACATCTTTTCTTTCCTTCCCTCTTTCTGTCTCTCTTTCTGAAATATTCTTCATTCTTCTGAAGTTAAAAGTTATCCCTTTTTCCAAATTCTTGGTGATTCATAGTAGCTTCACTAATTTTGCACCAGCCTTTCTCCTGGGCATTTTGCATGTCTTTCCACACAGTGCAACGTGTCCTCCTGTCCTACTGGTGTGGAGCTTCCACATCCCTGGGACACTCCCCACCCCCACCTGTGTGGCAGCTCAGTTCCCAGGTCCCCCAGTTTTCTGGGTGTAGTCTGACGTTTTGCCGAAGTGTATCTTCTTCTAGCTTTTCAAAGGAAAACTGAAGAAATTTTTAAAACTTAAATTTTGAAAAAACTTAAAACTTTGGGTTTTGTACGTGTGCACGGTGTTATTCAGATTTCACACTAATTTATAAATGGATATATTGTAAAATTCCAGGTCAAATACCTTTAGCCTCAGATTTTTGCTGAGCATTTCTCCATTGTTTTCTGTCTCCGCTTTAGCTGCTGAGAGCTACACTGTCATTCTGAGTGCGAAGTTTTGCAGCTAACCTGTTTCTGCCACGTTACTCCTCACCCCTGCATTTAGAATCCCCCTTTAATATTTGTGCTTTAAAGCTGGCTTGTGCTTCTGTCCATGGAAGACTGACTCCTACTTCATGCCAGGACACAAGGGGCCGCTGGCCTCAGCTCTGGAAAGCACTTGTGACCTCTCTGACCTTCTTCCTTCTCTTCTTAGCTCTTTCTGAACTCAGAGAAGTTAGCCCTTCCCCGCATCATCTGACTGTGCTGCCCACTGAGTGTATGTGAAGTGTTCCTCCAGATTCCCTTCCCACCCTGGACTCTCATGTGTCTAAAGTTCTTTCTCATGAATCAGCATGCCTGGTGCCCACTCTCACCTTTCCGGAAATTGGATCTCTCCTTTTCAGTGTTTAAAGCTAGTCAACACTTGTCCACATGTTCTAGAGTTGCTAAAATGTGGCTGATAGTTCTTTGGCTTGTGTATGCCATTCTTATTTGTCTTTTAGGGAATTATACCTCTTTAATCCTCTTACTGTCATATTAATGGTTGCAGTATAGAGTAGAAACAAATCTTGTATTTCACCCTCTTTCCTTTCTAACCCTTTAATTTTATTCTGTCCATAGTTTTCTTCTGACTTCAAACACAGGCATAGCAATTGCTCCGTGTTTGTGTGCTTGCGCACGCACACATGACCTCCTTCCTGTCAGACCCAGGGGGTGATTCCTCCCCCCTCTGGATGGTCCCTCCCTTCCCAGCCTGACCGACTCTCCCTCTCCTCTCCCTTTCCCTCCCTGCCTTCCTCTCCTTTGCTTTCACAAGTGGTTACTACCCCAGATGTCGTCTTTATCCTTCCTTTGTATTTATTCCTCACAATCATTGTATCATATATGAAACTCGTCTTTATGTTAATTAGTGTTGGTATTTTTGAGCTACGTAAAAATGATAGGCAATAGTACATTGCAGTCTGTAGGATTGCGGTTTGTTTTCTATTGCTTTATTCAGTGGCATTTTTAGATTCAGTCATGTTGCTTGTACCTACAACTTATTTGCTTTTAATGGCAGAACAGTAAATCAGCAGAATAACTGTGGCGTTGAGGCTCAAATCGCGGCTCTGTGAGTATAACAGTGGGCAAATTCCGTAACCTCTTTGACTATAAAATTTAGTTAAGTTTTGTAAAGGGCCCACTAGTGTGATTGAGAGGCAATAAGAACTAAGTACAAGTCCTTGTTTTTCACTTTGATTTCTGGGTAGTGTCTCCCATCATAAACACAACACAATGTGTCCAGCTCTTCGGGAGATAAGAGAGTGAACAGGCTGGTAGGAAGAGTATGCTGCTGGGGACATCGCTCCTGAGGACAGACACACCCATAGAAGGGCTGGGAGTCACATGGTATCTCAGGCCTGTGACCAGCTGTGGTGAGCAGCTGCCACGTGGACGGCAGAGCTGGAGAACTGGCATCAGAGGCGTGGCGGGTCTTGGCAGAAGAGCCAGGCCTGGAAACAGCAAGGGTTGGGTGTTGGCTGGCAGGTGATGGTGGATGAATCATCTTTGTGAGGAGAGGACAATAATAAAAAGAAATGTTCAATTACAGAGGAGGCAAAGACAGAGGACGATAGCAGATGACTCAGCGGAGGCGGGTGGCAGGGGATGTGGTTATGACCACATGAACTTCAAAGGAATTACAGTTTTATTTTTGCTATTGTACTTTATTTTATTGCATAGGCAGGTTTTCGAGAGAAGGAAAGTTAGTGTCAGAGAGGCAGAAGAATCAAGTACAGTGTTCCTCTCACCTGCGGGCTGAGCGTGAGAAGGCCACCGCCCCTGGAGACGCTGGTGGAGAAACCCTTGTCCCAAGGATCATCCGCCTTGAATCAGCGGAGGCCAGAGGAGCAAAGGCGCAAACGTCGGGGTTAAAGGCGGTCGCTGGTGGATCCCAGGGGATTCATAGAAGCAAACCGGGCACCCAGCAGGGTGGAGTGGGATGGGGCTCCGGAGCCCTAGGGGTGCGGGTCCCCTGCTGACGCTGAGCTGGGGTGAGGTCAGGATGCCCGGGGAGGCTGCAGCCAGCAGGGAAGCCGTGACAGCTGGACCCTGACATCGCTGTGGGAAGATGAGCAGCCTTCCCGTTCACTTCATTTGGGGAGCTGAAGCCGTCCGGCCCGCTGGTCTGCCCTCTCCCTTCGCACATGCCTGCTTCTGTGGGACATTTTCTTTGTCCTCCCCCAATGACCCCGAGGCCTCCCTCTCCCCTGTGAGACCCCGCCTTCCGCTGTGCTCTCAGCCCACTCTGCACCTCTCCGCGGGGTTGGTCACCGCCCCCTTCTGAGATTATCATTTCCTCTGTCTCTCTCTACAGAATCAACAGCCAGTAGGGTTTTGCGTACGGGGTCTTAACATTTTGTGAATCATGTATCTTTCTGGCTTTCTGGCAAAACCCAAGGATGTGTAGAGGAAAACTACAAGACTATAGAATTAAATATGGAAATAAAATTGTGAAGCTATAAATATCTTGAAATATAGCTTTCATGGTATGATAAATAGCAATTTGTTATAGGGTAACATGTAGCTTTTTTCTGGCATATTCAATAATAACTTCTTAAAACAGATGTGTAAATCCTATGATTTCAAATTAATTATGATAATGACATTTCGAGATAAGTGTAGGAACTTTAAAGTAAAATAAAAGTATCTGTTATTTTTCTTGGTTATGAAGCTATAGTTACTATTAATTCTGCTGCAGTTTGTTTTCTATACTTATATGACGGAAAGGATAAATTTGTTAGTGTGAGTAATGCTGTAATTTTGTCTGATTTCTGAGTTAGTTCATCCCACGAATTACTTTTTTCAGTTAAGAATTCTTGGAAGGTAAAAACAAAATTCTAAATTTCTTAGTAAAAATCAGAATGAATTTCTCAGGTTGGCAGAGAGAGGTCTTCCTTACCTGCTCTGGTACTTTCCAGGCTCCTAGTACTGTTCCCAGTACTGCTCCAGGCGCACAGTACCTGCTCTTTCGCAGCGAGCCAGTCCTACCGCTCCCCTTCCCCGGACTCCTGCTGGGCCTGCAGCCCGGATAAAGCCCTTGCTTTTCCCCTGCAGCGAGGTCTGCCGGAAGTCCGCCGGCCTTTCCCCTCCAGTCTGTTTGGCTCTCCTTCTGTCTGGCGCAGGACGGCCCCTTCTGAGTAGGCGCTGGGTCTCTCTCACCTGGAAAGGCCAGGCGCTAGGAGAGCACAGGGGGCCTGCGGTGGATCCCAGCGTCGCCCAGTGCATCTGTTCGCTTCACTGTCTGCCCTCTCCCCCGGATTTATTGCCAGAGCCTCTTTCAGAGGAGTCACTTGGATTTCTTCTGGGTTGCTTTGTTTGCCTTCTCCTT